AGGCCATCGCTCTGTTGGAGGCCATGGCTCTTGGGTTGGAGACCATCGCTCTTAGGTTGGAGGCCATCGCTAGTAGGTTGGAGGCCATCGCTCTTAGGTTGGAGGCAATCGCTCTTAGGTTGGAGGCCATCGGTCTTAGGTTGGGGACCATCGCTAGTAGGTTGGAGGCCATTGCTATTAGGTTACCAAGGCTTCCAGAACCGTTTGCAAAAGCAACGAGTTCGTCTTTGTGGTCAGTCAAGAACTTGTCATGGGTGGTCTATTGAATGATTCGCTCACTAGTCTTTCTTTTTTGGCGAGGATCGTCATGGTACCTGTGCAAATAGAAATCAAAGTGAGCAGCCAGTTATTGAAAGAGGCGTCAGAGAAGGTCAAGCCTCAGTCACATAGAAACAAAGAGATTCCGCCATTTTCAAATTGAAAGGCTTGAACCTTACCAGAAACATGCAGAAACAAGAGACACTAGCAGCCCAAACTAGAACTTTGGATGTCGAATTGACTGCCCGGCGCTGGGCGACATAAACCTCACCAAAGACCTTCCGCCCTTTCCACCTCCCACCTTTCCCCCCCCAAAAGTGCATGTCTTTTTCCATCTTCCTTTCCCTTCTTCCTACATTTATAGACAGGTGACCCGTTCCAGGGACCCGATTCTTCTTTCTTCTTTCTTTCGCCGTGCCATGTGTGCCACATGTGTGCCAGATGTGTGCGACACATGTGTCCTGCACCGAGGAACAAAAGAGAGAAATTTGAAACCACAACGATGGCACCGACTCCGCGAAGATCTTCACCTCGAAGGACGCGTTGCCTCACTGACCGCGACCGACTCGGCGAAGGCGGAGACGTTTTCGACGTAGGACCCGACGTTTTCGATGAATCCGGTGAACGTGGTGAAGACGGGGTTCTTGGCTGCAGCCTCTTCTCTTTTTTTGGAAACGCAGCAGCCGGGGTAGTTCTTCTTTTTTTTAAAATCACGCACATTTTGGAAGAATCAACCGTCACCTTGAAGTAGATGGCTGTTCAAACGTGTGATTCCAGTGTGCTTCTGTCTTTTTTGAACACGCACTTCGAAGAACATTCCAACATCATGACAAGAACTTGTATAATTCATCCGCATAGTCGCGTCCTTGCTCCTAGTAGCGATGCCCTTTGTTACCAGTAGCGAACCTTGCTCCTAGTAGTACGGCCAGGAGCCCCTAGCAGTGTCCGATCGCAGATCTTCAATTGGGTGACTTCCGGACTTGATCTCCCGTCTCCTCCTCAGGCTTCAGTTCCGAGCGTCGATCGGCGATGGGCCAAATGTCGGGTGAGCTTTCCACTTCGATCAAGACCAACTCCTTGAACAGATGGTGGAGCAGCATCAAACCGCCCACCTCGGAATAGGGTCTTGGAGACGTCGAAGAAAGAAGCGAATTCGGACCGGACATCTGGCTCCTTTCCTGGCTCCATTTGCGCCCTTCTTAAACAGAACTGCAGCGGTTGATCTGTCTTGAGATTCAAATTACTTTTTGTGTAAAGCATGTAGTCTGTGAATCACTTGACTGTGACTCATGTGACGCGGCTCCCTTTGCAAACTCAAGGCACATCGGTGAGATGCGACATGCGAATCCAAATCTGCCAGCGACGTTTTGGCTCATGGCCGTCGGACCTCAGACCGAGGGAAGAACGGTCCGGCTCGCAGCGGGGCTGGCTTCTGCGATCCAGTTTTCAGTCGGAACCTTGGATACGAAATTCGTGGTAGACAAGTTAACGCAGACTTGGAAAACACACCTTCTGATTGGAACCAAAAACAGAGTGCTCTGAGTGCCGTTATGACATAACGGCCGACACCGCCGAGCGATGCCGGGCATCGTCCGGGGACCGCGGAGCGAGACACGGACGATCAGGCGCCGTGGCGTGCTTCGCCCTCGGGTCCAACGAACCGTGAACGAAACCCCCATACTTAGAACAAGATAGAACAAGGTAGAACAAGATTCAGTTTTCCCTTAGAAATCTAGCAAATCAGTGTGAGCTATCCTGCGTCCAGTACGTAGTGCTTACTCCCTTACTTAATTAAGTAGGCGGGCGCCTACTGAATTAAGGGTGGGCTAAAGAAAAAAGACTGCTCGAATCCACTTCACCCGAATGCAAAGGAACTACGGACCTCACCAGACCTCCAAAACGAGCGTCTTGCACGGCCGAGGCACGGGTCCCAGGTGTCAATCCGCAGTCTCAGTCGACGGCTCTCAGACCAAAGCCTCCGTCGCTGCGCGCGCGGTCCGAACGCCTCCATCCGCCGTTTCGGGCGAGCGATGGGGCCGAGAAGCTTGTAGACTTGGCAAAAGCTGGCCTTAGACAGCCCAAAAGCGGACCAGGTATGAATTTTTAGGGGCGAGTGGTCACAAATGCATTGAATTACCATTGAAATACCGCGACGTCTAAAGCAGAGCGGTTCGTCGTTGGATCATGTTTCGTATCGCTTTGCATCCGGGGCACCACGCAAAGGATCAAGGTGAGCACTCCAGGAAGTCCCAAAGATGGGATGATTTGACCCACCACCGGCGCCCCCCCGCCAGGAAGCTTCAAATGCTTCCTGCGTGTGCGTGTGTGTGTGTGTGTTTGTGTTTTGCACATAGCGCGTGGGTTTGTGGTTACAGTGGCTTTGGCTAGTTACGTTGTCCAATTCGTTCCGCATCGTTTTTGGGGTTTTCTCGTCTGAATCTGTCAACCCGACGCCGGATGTTTCCACAGGAAGTCTGCTGTCCTCCACTTTGGCAGAATACCTCACATCAAAGCGTTCCATGAAAGGCATCACGAAGCGTTCCATGCATCACAAAGCTCCGCAAATGTTTCCCCCATCTTCAAGTATCTCAAAAACGGGCGTGCACGCTCACTCCCTCTCTCTGTCTCTCTGCACTTCTTGAACGCCTTGAACCACAAATTCCGGGATGCATCTGCTGGGAGTTTCCGGCGGTCAAAGCATCCTCAGTTCAGTCAATCAATGAACAGCCAGTAGGTGTCCTTCTTTCCGAAACGACACAACTGCAACGCGCTCCAATGGACTCCCTGGTGTGACAAGAATGCTCCTAAAGCATCTGTTTCTACCCTACTTCTCACAAAGAACTGGTCGGCCTTCAAAGGATCTATTTGGGGACCAGCACGATCACTATCAACAATCATCAACAATCCATTTTGAGAGCTAGCGAACGAACCCTAAACCCATGTGCCAATCGTAGTTCAGGTGCAACCCCAATTCTGAATTCTTTAGTTACCCATTCGACTGCAACGTTCTGCATCTGTAAACGAAGCATGTTGCCAGCTATCCCCATCTCCATCCCTGAAATCACTGGCGTCTCACCCCGCTTCGGGTTTGCGCTCAGTGGCCATGGGAGGATCGATGGCTTCGTAGATTCCACGCAGAAAGGCCATGCTGCTCACGGACAAACATGGGATGCAGCTGGGCTGCAGCAGCTGCTGCACGCTCGCCACGTGCATCTGACAAACATGATCCGGTCCATGTTTTTTCTCCCTTCCTTTGAGCTCTGCTGAATCGTCTCTTCTTTCTTTCTGGTTCCGTTCGTAGCGCTGCCCCTTGCTCCTAGTAGCAAGGCCAGGAGCCACGTTCGTAGCGTCCTTGTTCCTAGTAGCGATGCGCGGGTTCCTAGTAGCTTCTTTCTTTCCACTCGGAATGTTCGACTGGATCTTCTTTTTGCGTTTGTCTTATGTCGTGAAGTGCTTGACTGGACTGTGAAGCGACTCGAAGACAACTCTGGTCGGACTGGCACGTGGCTTGGATCCCTGCCTGCCAGTACTTGTGCTTCTGCAGCCAAATCAGGATCTGGTCCCTGGCAACTCAGATCGTCCCAAGAGACGGTTGCAACTCAAAACGCTTTTGGGCGACTGTCCCCGAACTGCGGGATGGGTCTCAAAATCAAACACAGAACCGGTCCGAGGAAAAACAGGTCTAGTTTAGAAAACTTCGGATCCATCTCGCCTAAGCCAGAATTGGTATGCTCCAGAGCCCAACATCCCGAGCACAACTACCTCACTGGGGGAAACCACAAGCACAACAAAAAGTGTGTGCTCGGTAGTTGACTCACAGTCAGGAATGAAGAAAAAGGACACATGTTAAGCTTCAAATTGCTAAATCTGACTTCGGTTCATCATATTGAAAAGTCGAAGAGTCTTGCCAAGCAAAGGTCAGTGACGAGATAAGCGCAGTGTGTGTAGCCCAATTGAGCCAGCAAATAAAGAAGCGGCATGTTGGCAAATTGCACCAGACTCACCTGCAGCCACGACAGGCCGGCGAGAGTCGCCGGAGGAGCCCACAAGAGCTCTGCAGCTCTCAGGTGTCGTTGAACAACCACCGTCTCTCTTTCTTTCTTTCTTTCTTGTAGTAACAAGTGCATCGCTAGTAGTAACAAGTGCCTTACTAGTAGTAACAAGAAGCTATTAGAAACAAGTGCATCGCTAGTAGTAACAAGTGCCTTACTAGTAGTAACAAGGACGCTACTAGTGACAATAAGCTAATAGCTTCTTGTTCCTAGTAGCGATGCCAGGAGCCCCATTCGTAGCGTCCGATCGCTCCTAGTAGCGATGCCAGGAGCCCCGTTCGTAGCTTCTTGTTACTAGTAAAACCGTTCCGCACCGATCACTGCACCCTTTCTGTCCGAGAGTCAAAGGTACACTGCCGAATCAGCGCCAACAAGAACTCCAGATCCGACGAGACATCTTCAGGAAGCAACAGGCAACCTTCCTGTCAGGTAGGCGGTGGGTCTCCGACATTCCTCCTGTAAATACACACTTAGAAAACATCACAAGACTTTCTTCTTGTCTCTGCCGATTCTTTTTCCCAAAGAAATAAAAGACTGGGTCTTCCAGTTTCAGGTGAGGAAGTCTATCATGATTACATTTCGTTATGGTGGGATCCACCATTGCCTATATCATCCTAATCTTCAGAAAAGGAATTAGGTTTGAGGCCATTGCTATTGGAATGGAGGCCATGGCTATTAGGATGGAGGCCATCGCATCCTTCAGGCCCCTCCTCCTCGTCGGAGTCACTTTCATCGCTTTCCTCCACCTCCAGGGCCGTGCTGGAGCCCGGTACGGTTCACCATGCAAGGCCGAGGGTGTGGTCCCCGGGTTGTGATTCACAGCCAAATGGTTTGGTGTAGAATAGGGAGACCTCCCAAACGTTTCGATTGGTTATCTGCCAGGCTGATTATCTGCCTCTTCTCTCGAGGTGTCAGTGCACACGAAGCTCATCGCACCAAAGGAGTCTTCGGCATGAGCGGAAGAAATGGCCGCGAGTCTGAGGCCATTTCTTTGGGGTCAATGGATCTTCAACACTGAAATGGCCTCAGTCATTCATTTTTGAGGATCGATTCTGCCAACCTTTCTTTCACATGAGATACTCAGGTACTGACAATGTTTCAGGTTGAGCTACTGAGAAGTGGCCGTCTTCCATGTCCCAAATCAACCCGTGGGTTTTAAACAGCAGGCTCTAACACTATATGAAGGCCTTTCTAAATTGTTCCATGCACTCAATGAACCACGAAAGGCTTCTTTGAGCCTCAAGCAGCCGCAGTGCCATGTGCTAAAGGAAACCTCCATGCTCGATTGTAAAGAAAGCATCAACAATGGAAAAGGCTCGGCACATGCGGACCTCTATCCACTTCCCGTCAATCTCATTGGAGTCATATTTCTCCATGCAAGCCTCCGCAAGCGACACAAAAATCCACAAGAGCCATGTCCCAAACTTGGTACAGTCTTCAAATTGTTTCACCTGCTAAGTACGAGCATCGTTTTGGAATCCTGACTTCTTCGACACACCTCATAGACCTGTCGTGTGAGCCAACGTCTGGAAACCACTCACCGCCTCCACAGAGGAGCTATCGGTGAAGGTGACAAAGCCAAAGCCGCGCGACCTGGCGAGGTCAAACATCTCGCTCGCGACCGGTGTCCTTGAAAGGTTGGAACAAAAACTGATACAAACTTCTTAGCGATGCCCTCCAATCTACTTGCGATGGCCTCCAACCAAATAAGCATGATTGATCCCTTCTATCAGGAACCGGAGAAGACAAGTCGCCCCCAACTTTCATCCGTGAAGGGAGGGGGTATTTTTTCCGGCAAGTGGACTTCACTCGACGATACGTCTCAACGTTTCTGGCGCTTTGGGCTTCACCGGAACGCTACTGGCGAAAGAGAACGAACGAAGGACGGGACACGAACGCCCCTGGCCTTTGCGTCCCAGGGTCAATCATGACCACCGCATCCTCGGGGGATTCCGTCGTCCGTTCGCGCTGCTAAACCCGTCGTCGGTTTCGGTTTCGCCCGAAACCGTGTTTCAGCGGCCTCAATGCTGCCGTACTTCTGAAAGTATCCTCCAAAAGCCAAGGCAAGTGCTACACTGAGACTCAGTCCCATCAAGATTCAGAAGTGCCGTTTTCTTTCTGCCACATGCTTTCTGTGGAATTCCTGTCATTTCTCCATCGTCTCCGCTCCTGTGAGCTTGTCATAGTCCACGCTGGGCGGTAGCCCCCCCACCTGGCGCAGAGACCGTGACCACCGGTTCCGACCGGTTCCGACCGGTTCCAGAGCAGCGGACCCCCGGTTGGGCCCCGGTTGGGCCCGGTGGACTTCGTTGGTGGATCCGAACACGCCGGGTGAGCGTCCTTTGCAGTATGGCCAGGAGCCCCGTTCGTAGCGTCCGATCGCTGCCTTCGAGTCGCGATGCCCGAAATGCTCCGTTCGTAGCGAACCTTGAACGCACTCGCTTTGGGACCGATTCTCCCTCCGAGATGCTGAGATCTTCGACCGATCGCGCAGTCTTCGCCCGATCAAAGGCGCCGGCAGCGCGAAGACCTTGACCACGTTGAACTCCACGCCTGACCATTCGGAGCCAAAGCGTCTCATCACGTCTCTAGGCCTAAGCGTTTCGACTCAAATGTTGTTATTGGCAAAAATGGAGCAACTTTTTGGTCGACATCTCAGGACAAACAAATATCGAATCAGGACTTAACGTTGACCGGTCATCCTTTTCCACTCATCTTCGCTCACCGTCCGTGACATCCCTCGCGTAGAATCCGTCGACAGCCACTTGCCAGTTTCTTCGCGTTCGTTCCTGGTGACCCTCTTCATCATTGACCCCAAAGGGCGATGTTCTTCGCGGAATCCGTCGGAGGCCCGCGGCGTGCCTTCCGGTGCAGCGCCTCCGCCGCCGCCTGGGCGCCCGCCCTGGCTCTCGCGGGTGGCCTGCGCAAAGGACATCAAGGGCTCAGCTTGGGTGGTCTTTCCTCGCAGGGAATGGAGGCATGTACGAAACATCTACGAAACAATTTGTCTTTCCTGCTGAGGCCTTTTCCGAGTCCTTCCTGGCTTCCTTTCCACGAGATTCGGCCTTTTTCACGGTCACTGAGCGACCATCCAGCTCCTGCGTGGGCCTTAGAGATCCCCAGGGTTCAACAAGGGCGCGACAAACCTCACAAAGCCCATCGCTACGAACGGAGCGATCGGACGCTACGAACGGGGCGTCCTGGCATTACTACTAGGAGCAGGACGCTACTAGGAGCAGGACGCTACTAGGAACAAGGAGCTACTAGGAACAAGTGCATCGCTTCTAGTAACAAGTGCCTTACTTAGTAGTAACAAGGACGCTACTAGGAACAACTTTCTCCAACTCGTGGTTTCTTCACAGGTCATCGGGCCCCCGTGCATGGTGATCGCTGCATTCACCGAGCCCGGATCCTGCGAAAAGCAAGGCGCGGAGCACAGTGGAGCACAGCGGACAAGGCATATGGCTCTTGAAGTGAGTAGGTCGTGGCACCCTCCAACCATCGTGAAGTCACTCACGAACGAAATTCACAAATGTATTGACCAACACGACCTTTGGTTAGGATCACCGAATTCAACGACTTCTGATACAAGTTCTGAAAAGAACATCCGGCCTGGCTGCTTCATGGGGATGTTCAAGTGCAAAATCAGCTTGTGTCAATTCCCTCCTCAACCCAAAGGATGCTATAACATGCTATAACCAAAGCAGTGCAGCAGCCTGCAGCAGCTACAAAGCCCACAAACCGAGTCCTATGCACCCAGGCACCTCTTCCTTTACTTGAAGTAAGAGTAGATGGCACAATCTCCAAAAGGTGCTTTCATACGGACCGCCCCATGTTTACAAACAAAACGACCTCTCCCGGCTGCCTCGAAGGTGACGAAGCCGAAGCCCCGGGAGCGGCCGGTGTCCCGGTCCGTCATGACCTCCGGCGGGAGTGACTGCACGGGATGGGGAGACAAGACCCTCAATTGGCATGAAAAGGAGGGTGCAGGAGATCTATCAAGAAAGAGGTTTGCATTTTTTGGGGGTCCGTAGCTTTTCGAGTCTTTGCTGAAGAAGTCTTGGCAGAAAACAGCAATTTACCAAGGGATGTTATCATGACTATAACCACCCACTCGCAACCATGCTCGCTTAAACAAAGCGACTTGTCAACATGTGCAATTCGCAAAGGACAAGTCGGGTTCACTCTAAGGCTGGCTCAATGCAGTCAGAGATGCTACCAAACTGCTCGAAGTGCGCCTGGATGGGACTTTGGGACTTTGGGCCACACGATGGTAACAACTGCATCGCTAGTAGTAACAGGTGCCTTACTAGTAGTAACAAGAAGCTATTAATTACTTTTTAAATTAATAGCTTTTTGTTACTACTAGTAAGGCACCTGTTACTACTAGCGATGCAGTTGTTACTAGTAGTAACAAGAATTTAATTAGAATTAGTGCCTTACTAGCAAAGGAATCTACTAGAGCTCTTCTTCAGGACACCTATGGATCCATATGGTTTGGGTCTATCCTATTTCGGCTCAGTGGATGATGCTGGTTCCGTTGCAGGCCGTTCTTCCTCAAAAATCGTGATACTTGTTTTACCTTTCCTGTTATGGGTAACAGGACAACTAATGGCATCTAAAGACAACATGGCCATGTTGAACAGGTACTTGTTTTCTCCCAATATATGGTTGTGGCATGTCATGGCACCAGTCAACCTAACTCCGGCGCTGGCGCTCTCCCCGCGCCGCTCGCTCTCTTGGCTCTCCGCTCCCGTCCAGAGTCCGCCTTCAAGGCTTCGGTACTGGTGGTGAAGTTCAGACCACCCACATAGACCTACAGAGTGACACCATGTGACACACCCTGTGACACACCATGTGACACCCGTGGAAACTGAAGCAGAAACACGAAAGAAACACATGAACACGGACAACACGCACGGCACGTTCCCTTCTTCTTGCGATGAGTCTTCCTGAAGGTGTCAATCGATTATATGTTTACTTGCATGTGCTTCCTGCAATTCCCAACTCTTCAAGCACTTAGTTCCAGCGGTTACGAGTGTCCACCCCGGTGCACAAGTGACCGCCTGCCCAGAGCTAGCACCGAGCCGGACACGGTGGAATAGTCGAGTGAAGCATGTGACTCATCGCTTCGGGGGGGGTTTCTAATAGCTTCTAGTTCCTAGTAGCTTCTTGTTACTACTAGTAAGGCACTTGTTACTAGTAGCGATGCACTTGTTTCTAATAGCTTCTTACCTCTCCCCATGTCACATGCTGCCTTGGATTCGCCCAAAAAGATCCAACGATCTATTTTCCAAGCTGAATGCCTCCACGCGGTCACGCCCACCGTCCCCAACCACCCAAACCAGCCGATCCTGCTCGCGGTCCGAAACAGGCACTGGCATGAGTTCGGAGTCCGAACCACTAGCGACCGGCACGAGGTCCAAAACGATTTCATGCGATTTCGACCACACCTTTACTTCTAGTAACAAGAAGCTACGAACGGGGCTCCTGGCATCGCTACTAGGAGCATCCTTACTACGCTTACTACTAGTAACAAGGGCATTACTAGTATCAAGAAGCTACGCTCCACCCGTGCGCATCCGTCGTCGCTCGCTCTTCCGCCTTCCCCGCATCGTCGCCCGGCATCGCCGGCGCCGGAGACCCGGTCTCGACCGGAGCCGCCCGGGGGGCGGACGCGCGGTGGATCCGAGACGATGTTTGGAACGTCGAATGAGACTTTGTCGAACTTCCAAGCTGTGCCAGGTAGATGTTTTGGAGTCTTTAATTAAAACTCTTGGCATGATCTGTGGGACACTTTTGGCATCCCGTTGAAGTTTGCTTTCGTTGTCATCTTTGAAAGAGTCCTTGAGTCCATGGTTTCATGCATGGGTCCAAGTTGAATACTGCTTGGCACACCGATGCCATGGCTAGATGAAGCCGGGGCGGAGCACATATGACAGCAACTGCCGCAGCAACAACATTCTGTCATGGTGTGCAAACATGTAGCGTGCAGTGCAGTCTGTACAGCAACGCCCTATTCTTCCTTTCAAAGCAACTGCCTCAAAGTTGAACATGACATTTATCATCATTTATTGATATGAAGGGGAATAAATCGGTGTATCCAAACATCAAAGCCACTCAGCTGATTCGACTCCTTCACACATTTTTAGCTCCACAAGAACTTGGAATTAAACATTATGCAAACATCCTTCATTGGACAATGTCATATCCAACCTGCAAAAACACATCAGTCAAAGCAGCCCTCAGAGTAGCATCTTCAAGAAGTGAAGACATCTTCCAGAAAAAAGGAACCACTCAACTGGCCAACTGGGTCAGTCTCTGCTGTGGAACCGGCTGCTCCGCTCATTCCTTTCTTTCGACGTCCGCGGTACAAACACGATCACTGAGACGTCACCTGGGCGGAGCTCGCGCTGAGTTCTTCTTCGGTCCGACAGAACGAAAAGGAAAACGAGCCATCGGTAACAGGAAACTACTAGAAACAAGTGCATCGCTTCTAGTAACAAGTGCCTTACTAGTAGTAACAAGAAGCTATCAGGAACAAGTGCATCACTTCTAGTAACAAGTGCCTTACTAGTAGTAACAAGAAACTACTAGGAACAAGTGCATCGCTTCTAGTAACAAGTGCCTTACTAGTAGTAACAAGAAGCCACTAGGAACAAGTGCATCGCTTCTAGTAACAAGTGCCTTACTAGTAGTAACAAGAAGCTATTAGGAACAAGTGCATCGCTTCTAGTAACAAGTGCCTTACTAGTAGTAACAAGAAACTACTAGGAACAAGTGCATCGCTTCTAGTAACAAGTGCCTTACTAGTAGTAACAAGAAACTATTAGGAACAAGTGCCTTACTACTGGGAGCAAAGACGCTACGAACGGGGCTCCTGGCATCGCTACTAGGAGCGATCGGACGCTACGAATGGGGCTCCTGGCCGTACTCCTAGGAGCAAGGACGCTACTTGTAGCAAGAAGCAACGAACGTAGCGATGCACTTGCTTTTCCTACCACCGGTCACGGATGGGTACCAGAAAGAAGCACCTCTCTCTTCATATTCTCAAACCTTCGCAGCTTCGAGACAGACACCTTTTAAGCGAAGCGATTTTTCTGAATTCTTCATTTTGGTCGAAAACAGCCTTAAAGCGCCGGACGAAATCGATGCCCCCAACCGACCAACCGTGATCGCCCGATCGGCCTCTGTCAGCGCGCCACCGGCTCGGCGGCGTTCGTGGGCTCGGCCTCCGAGAGGGACCTCGGCCGAGAAGAGCCACGCGACCATGGTTCGGTTGTCCTTTTTTGAGGTGTGTCGTTTTGATAAAACGTTGCAAACCTAGCCAAGACTGTGGAAATGCCACAAGTGAGATCGATTGAAGTGAGATAAACTTTCTGAAGGTACAAGGACTGGTTTCAGCCTGGTTTCAACGCAGCTGAGTGGCAATTCCTCCTCATCTTCGATGTCATGCTCCCAGCCTTTGGGAAGGCCATATTCTTGCCTCACGCCACTGCCGCAAGCCACGTGTCAACAAAGACGCCAAGCGCAGGAAGTCAGGCGCAGGGAATCGCGGAAGTCAGCCAAGAGGATCGTGTTGAGAAAGACTGATGGCTCTGCTGTTCCGCTTTCATGAGTAGTGGCGGAATAGCTGCTCCCAGCTGGCTCTTGTCTAGAGGGAGCACATGGGAACACCCAGCTAGCCGGCAGTTTTCAGGAGACCGTCCAGCCTTATCTTCTCTCGGATCACCCGCTTGCCTTGGAAAGAAAAAACAGGTCGTTGCAGTCAATTGGAGTTAAGATAAAAACAGATTACGAAGAGCATCCAGGACATATTGGGAATACATCTCGATGCTCTTTCTACATCTTTCTACATCAGGAAGATTCTCCTGAAACCTTCGACGAGGAGGTTACACCTAGAGGCTTCTAGGTAGGCATAGGCCTTTGTGAAAACCATATCATACACACACATCTTTGGGCAGAAAAACGCATCTTTTTGGCCCGGTGTTTTCAAAAAGGACTTTGAGTAGGACTTTGCTGCTGAGGCACGTTTCTCGAAGAAGGATTCACCCCAAGAGAGCTGGCTGATGGTCCAGACCTCTGAGACTCAACCGATGAGAGGGCGGATCAAGGCGGGCGGATGGCCTCTGGGACCGAACGAGAATGCTTTGGCTTCAGGGTCTGAACGCGAGGTGTGACATAGACACATTTTTTCTTTTTTTTAAACCAACACGTGGAGAGAGGACACTTCTCTGTGAACTCCAACGATGTGAACAAATCCTCGCATCTCGCCCGCAGAGATAGGAGACATATACTATATATATCTATATATCATGCCGTTTTGCATAAGACGTGAAGGAGGCTCTTTAGACAGCTTCGCTCAGCGTGGAGGCTCGAGTTGCTAACCCGGAGCGGACCCTCCCAGTCTGGCGATCCCTGACGGTGGTCAAAGCAATGAGGCAATTGACCTTTCGATGGAAGGAGGGACCGTTCTGCCAGGAACTACGGGGAACTTGCGTTGGGCCGTTTTGGGCACGCCACGCCTTCCACGCCTTGTTGCGAAGAAGAACGGCTGATACCATTTGTAGGGTCGTTTTCCGTGGTGCCATACACATGGACTGAGTGAGCTTTGAACCTACTAGCGATGGCCTCCACCCTAGTAGCAATGGCCTCCAACCTAACTCCTAGATCCAGTTTTCGGATTCCTCCAGGGCTTCGGTTTGTTTCGAACATTCTGAAGAACCGGATTACGTCAGGATCTTCTGTGGTTGCTGTTCCTTTCGACTTGAAGCAAAAGGCGAAGGAACCCCCCCCGCCCCCCCCCCCACACACACACACACACACTTAGGATAGGGTGTGCTGAACTGAAAGCGGTGCCACACGCCGGCCTAGGGTTCCAATTCCTAAGGGTACAGGTAAGGAAACCTAAAAGGAAGTGGAGGTCCATCAAGTTCAGCGAGGCCATAAAGTCTAAAGAAATCCCGAACGATCGACCGACAGAATGACGTCGTCCGCTCACATCTGCAGAAAGGCCAAATTCATCGCCGCTGCAGTAGCCCTTTACTGAAGGAAACAACGACGTAGACAGCTTGTGCTCTACGTAGGTTTCTCTCCCGGCAGGTACGTCAATCCGGCGTCCCGGATTGATTTCACAGACCAGTGCAAGCGTCTTTGTTAGTGCCAGACTTGCACGGTCCCTGGCACCCCCCTGCTGTGAAACAAAACGGAAAGGCAAACCTGAAAAATCCAAAAGGATCCCTATGATTCCAAGGGTTACACACACACACACACTGTGATCAGGAACCTCTCTAGCTACTGAATTAGTCTCTGTGGGTTGGCTTAGAGCAGCTTCCTGGTTTCCTTGGCATTTTGGGAGCTTTTCTGATCTGTGAACGTGAAGCACCAAGCCTCCACCCATCACTGGGTCACCGGGCGACAAAGGTCACGGGGTCATCGCGCGGGTGCGCGAACCAGGTGCCCTTTGGATAGACCTCATCGGGGAAGGTGGGGGGGGTAGGTCTTCTTCGTGGAGTAGCGAGGATGCTACTATACTAACAAGGGCATCGCTACGAACGGAGCAAGGACGCTACTAGGGCGGGGCTCCTGGCCTTACTAATAGGAACAAGAAGCTACTAGTCTCAAGGGCATTACTACGAACGGAGCAACGATGCCACGAACGTCGCAACATCCTCCGCCCCTTGCAGAACATCGGATCGTTCAACTGCTAAGTTCCATTTCCACCGGACCGCCACCGCCCAGGAGCGCAGAACACATCCCTACCTTGCCGGTCTCAGGATCTTTCACCATCTTGCTGGCATAGGGCCCCATCCTGACGCCCACCCCGCGGACGTGGGGTTCGGGGGAAGAAGGTCTTGAGGCTTCGTTTCTTGTCCAAGATGCCTTTTTGGCAAAAAGGAAACAAAGAGAAGTAAGAGAAAACAAGAAAGGTCTAGAATACAACGAAAACACATTCCTCACACTTTGAAGGAAATTGTTGTCAGTATATGAAGAGTACTAGTTGTTGTTACAACTAATTGTTACTGACCTTACCTGTCCCTGGCTCCCAGCATCGATCGAAACCCTTTCAGCTCCCGCCTGAAATCTCTGGGTGGTTGTCGTCCACCAGGGAAACTGGCGCGCCGCCCGCCGCACGTCGGTCGCCACTCGCCGAGGGGCAAAGCCCCGCTTCGTCGGAAGGGGGGCCCGTCTGCGATGCCCTGCAGGTCCTTTTAAGTCGAAGGACTTGTCATGGGGCGTAAGTGCGTGTAGGTACCTTTGTTGAGCAAAGTGAGATGGTTTTCTGCCTTTTGGGATCCACCCAAAGCTTAAAGATATCGGATGAAAAGGAGAGTATCAATCTTGGTCGCTGCTTGACCGAACTTCTGTTGACCTGGTTGAATCACAAGGACCTGAAAACGAGTTGTTTTCACCGTTTGTTCCTGTGGCAACTAGCAGATGCACTCCTTTCCTCCTTCTTTCCCAACAGCTGTTCCTTTCCCAGCCAAGAAAGCCTAACCAAGCGCTACTGGGCCTGTCCAAATCCTTGTACTTTTCTCGATCCATACGCCACGCTTCAGGCGAACCTCAGACGCACCGGACCGAACTACACCATCGGTTCCGTCGGTGTCCATTGGCAGGTTGGGTCAGCATTCGCTTTGGCAAAACCACTAAGAAGAACACCAGTTAGCTCTGGCTTATGGCAGCTTCGGTGGGAAGCTTCTACAGCATGAAGACGGGTCGCAGTTTTTTGCATCCAAATAGAAGCTGTTGACCTTCCCCTGCTTGCTATTCTTTAGTCCAACCGAAACAACATCAGCTTGCTCCGCCCACGAAACCTACTTCCGCACCGGTGTTCTATGTCCCCCACTGTCGGTCGGCTTGGTCGGAACCGACGCGAAGCGCCTGACGCGCATTTTTCAGAGGCCGGCCACGAGAAACACATACGGGACGCCCAAACAATATGCTTGATTTCTCTGCTTAGGGCATTGAGGTGTGGAGTGCAAGCACTTTCTTGAAACCCTCCAACGAGTGTGGCATTTGGCTGTGGCTCCCAGTGGCCGATGTCAACGAGCTTCGGCCGTTTTCCTCTCTTCTCTTCTCCTGTTTCGCTTCAGCACTGCGTTCCGCTTCGCCCGGCGCTCGGACCAAATCGACCTCGTCCGTCCTAACTCCTTGCTCCGGTGACGGTTTCGCGGGTCACCTGCAGCTGCCAAAGCGAAGGTGGCTCGGCACCTGGACAGGTCAAGAAATCGGGTTGGCAAAAGGGATGAGACACGACAAACGACACCCGTTTTGTTCATCCAAAAAGCACTCGGAAGACGTCCAAACAAAGCACCTGGTGCATGTTGGGTGGCGTCCAACAGGTGCTTTGGAGGTTGAATCGTCAGCCTATGCTGGCTTGGGATCCGTGTTTTCTTGTCCTCTTCGCTCGAAACGAACCTGATCCGACCTCATGTGCCCATTGAACAGCTAAACCGGGAAGAACTCCACAATCCTCTTCGAAAGAAACATACACCCGCAACCCATTGGTCGTGGATATCCTCATTTTGATACCCATGACAGCCAGCCATAACACTATAGCGCCACAAAATCACTATTTCTTTCTCCCTTGCCGCCTTTGCCCTAAGAATCCGAAAAAAGGGCCCTCCATGGCAGGGCTCCGGACCCTCAAACCCTATGTGTATTCATGTCAGGATACACTCGTCATACACTCGTCCTGAAAGGGATGGAACGGCTCGGTCGGTGCCATTTGGCCCGGTGGGCGGCCTGCACAGAGATGGCCCGCCGGAGCATCCCCTGCGGTGGCAGGCCATCGCTATTAGGTTCAAGGGTTTTCATGGATGGAGAGATGGAGAGATGGATGAATTGCAGGTCATTCAGTCTCCTTCTGTCCAACATCTCCGGCGAAAGGACATTTGCCCTGCTTTTGTCATCTGAACGGTTGGCAAACTTTTTCAAGACCGCGCCATCCAAGCGCGGGAGAAAAACAACACGAATTCGTTTCTTCGACATGGGGTGATAGAGCGAGTCATCCCTTGCGCTTCCTCACCTTGTGCGTTGAGAGGTCAGCACCAGGCAGCACCGTTCTAGGGAGTCATGAGAAATCAGAGGAGAGGGTACGAACAATACCTGTTCTAAGTCGATGTAGGTCGAAATCATTGACAGTTTTAAAACAAACAGGAGAGATCTTGTCCACATCTTGGTTCAAATCACTCGTTCATCAGCTTGAAACTGCAGCTCTGCAGCGGAACATGTGAGCAGGTGCCAAGATCCCTTCTTTGGTCCCCCAGGTTTCGAGTAGTATGGCCAGGAGCTACGTTCGTAGCGTCCTTGCTCCGTTCCTAGCGACGCCCTTTGTTCCCTTTTAGCTGGTTGCACACTCTGACTGAGCGGAAACTGACAGGTCGGTCTTTCGTCTTTCGTCTTCCTTTTCGAACACACGAACAACCACCCGGAACGCATCGAAAGAAAAACAAAGAAAACACCTTCCACTGGCCGCCAGGGAACCCTCGTTCTTCCGCCGCTGTCCCTTTTCGGCTCGGTGCCGCGCAGCCGAGCGCGGCGCGGCGGTGAAACCTCTCCGCGGTTCGGCTTCACTTGGCGAAGCCGTGCGGATGATCGAGGGTCCGACCTGGCCGGTGTTGACCGGAAGGGATGGCCGGGTGGGCTGCGTCTTCCTGGCTGGTTTGTCCTCTGAGAGGTCGAAGTATAGACCTCCAAGAGTATCAAATACTAGAAAGAAACATGCATCGGATATCGGCTAGGGCACACATGGGGAGGGGTGAGTGAAGTGAAGATGTCCACGACCCCGCATGCCACGAGGTTCTTCAACAAAGAGCAAACACACACACACACAAACACCTTTAGGATCCTTTAGGATTTTTGGCACCACGACCCGCCCCTGGCAGCTCCGGCCGCCTTTATCGCAGGTCCGGGAGGCGTGTTCCCTGGCCTGCGCCGAGTCGGGTTCCGACTCCGCGAAGGGTCCAACATGTCCGGCTCAGTGACACACCCAGCCTAAGGAGTCACGTCCAAAACACCTCGGACCCGTTCCTTCGGTCTTGACTGCTCTGCAGCGCTTAGGCGCTTAGTCCCAGCGCAGCTTGTTGACTCGAGTTGCTGAGCAAACTCTTTTGGTGCTTTTGCATCTGCCAAGGCGGAGCAACGCGATGCAGCACTTCCTTTTGTCCTCACGCGTCAGATTGTAGAACTATGTCTGATGAGTTGACTCGATGTTCAGAAAAGAAGGCTTTATCCCAAACAGCCAAGTCAACAGCTGAAGTAGCTCTACAGTTACTATTTAGGTGAACCGTTCATGCAATTTCCTCGTCACTGGTCGTGCAACAAATGGGGCACCGGTCATGCGGTCTCTGAACATCCGAGAGATCGTTGGGCATCCGAGTGGACAGGGAGAGCAACGAAAAGGGATGAACAGGCATTTCTGCCTGAACTCTGGAAAGTCATCTAATTAGTAGGGTGGAGTCCATCGCTACTAGGGTGGAGGCCATCGATATTAGGGTAGAGGCCATCGTTCTATTTTCTCTTTTAAGATTTAGATTAAGGCATGTCAAGGACTGCCCAAACGCCTGTGGAATCGTGTGGGCCGGGCGCCATCACCGGGATCACGGAGAAAAGGACCCCCGACACGGCTCGGGGCCGTGGATCGGCGAGGCTTTGCCTCTCACAAAGCCTCACGAAGCCTTTCGATGCAAATGCCTTGATTGAGGGATTTCCATGTGTCAAACAATTCGTCGTCTTTCACAGTCTTATTCATCGTGCTTATACCAAAAGGTGAGTTTTGCTGTGTCCCTTGTGTCTTGTGTTCGACGAGCGGACCAGGCTCCCGACAAGTACAGTGGTGCCTAAGGCATGCCACCCGAACTCAAGGCAAGCCTGGAAACGTGAGCACAGCACACGCTGACGCATTCATCTGACAAACAGCCTCTCAAGGTGCCGAGCCAAGTCTTTCTGAACATCTGAACATGAGTGTTGGACCGTCTTAGACCACTTGGAACATAATTTAAACAACAAAAGCTTGAATTCTAGTTCCTAGTAGCTTCTTGCTACTACTAGTAAGGCACTTGTTACTACTAGCGATGCACTTGTTTCTAGTAGCTTAGGGAAATAATCAAAGTGTATTTGGCACTGAGGCAACTTGTACCTCCTCTTTTTTTCTTGTCAACAAACAAACGTGTTGCTCAGCACCAATACTCACATGTGGCCTCATTCACAACCGCGATGGAAAGTCATACAGCACCAGTCCTTCTTTGCCTGGCGTTGCAACAAAAGCGTTTGCAGCCTTTCTCAACGTGGTAAGAAACATCCCCAAACCCAGAACGCCAGAATTCTTGACTCATTGCAGTGTGGTCAGAAATGTTTAAGACAGGTTGCCAGGTCCTCCAAGAAACACTGGCTTTCGCACGTGCCACGCGTGAGTGACGCCGGAAAGGCACGCGCCTTGGACCATCCATCACGCCAATCCTTGAGACCTGCATGGCAATCGAAGATATCTTCCGGGCATCCCAGCCGCTCATGGTGGCAACACCTCAGCGGAAATGCGTGGCGACACCATCGTGTCACTCGTGGAGGGTTTGGGGGGAAGAGAAAGGACGAACGAAAAGAACCGAAAAAGACACAACGAACAAAGAACACAAACGGAAAAACAACAAATTGAAGAGAAAAGAACAAGCAGCTAAAGCGGCTGTCTGTACGCGGAGTCTTCCTGTGGGACGTCGGTCTTCTCGTGTTGGCGCCGAGGCGCCATGATCGCTTCGGTGGATCCCAGCTGGCGGCGTCTTTGCCGCCCTCGCAGTGGTAGGGCTGCACGGTGGTGACGGGACAGCCTCAGTGCTTGCTGCAGTTGTTCTCTGCAGTTGCAGAACTGTAGGAACACATTGTATAGTACTTAAGCCAGTCATCCTTTTGGGATCGTACTACGAATGAAACCAACGACTGCTGGACAACTTTTCCAGGAGACTCGAAGCCTTGAAGCCACTTCTGCTTCTCGGGGACTCAGGTTCACTGCTTCAAACTTTGATTCGGCATCTTTTCATTACAGCACGATTGCCTAATCGTACAGCCAGGACGAGGCTTTCGTGATTGAATGGATTCAATGACAGATTGGGACTGCCGCGCTACCATTCAACTAGCAGCAGAAGTTACAACTGAGTTTTCACCGCATCAAGAAGAGACTCCTCGTTGGCACCTTCCAGTGTTTCACTCATCCCATCGGGGCGTCCACCCCTGGGTGTTTCTAAAACCTACAAGTGCCTTACTACTAGTAACAAGGACGCTACTGTCCGTTGATCTTCCCTGGGCCCTCCCACCGACGTGAATGCGCTCGCAGCACCAGGCGCGTTTGGCCATGCCCCAAACGCTGTGCCTCATGGCACCCGGCGGAAGTTCACTGGGTCCACTGGGTGTTGGTTAGATGTAAGGGAAAAGGAATGCAGGTTTTGCAGATTGAAAAGAACACCCTCTTCAGGAGTTCTTCTTCACTGATCTGGAAAGGCTCTGCAAAGATAAAAAGTCTTCCAAAGGATCCGTGAGAAGCTTTCAGAAGATGTGAGGCAATCTTCCACTCCAAAACAAACAGAGTCGGTTTCTCCATGTTTGGTCGGATGGATCGCTTTCCCGTCTGTCTCCACTTCTGTCGTCTGGGATCGCTGACCATTCTTCGAGCCCTTCAGAGCAGTCGTAGGGATCGCAAGCCCGTCCGACGGCCATACAACAATAGTGCTTCTTGTCGTCTGTCCTACGCAGCTTGGCAGCCGTGCAGGTGGAAGCAAGGAAGACAAGACAAAAACGAACTGACCTCCAGAAATCCCCAGAAATCCCGAGGCTTGCCATGCTGAACAGACTCAATTGTCCATGGTCCATGACAGACTTGCGAAAACCAAAACGCTTCATGAAATGCATCGTTCCACCAAGACATCAATCTGTGACACAAACAAACCTAGGTAACTAGGTGATCACCCCTGGTTCAGCCGCCACCGTGGAGAGATGGATCAACCACCGAGATCGATCGAGCCAGCCGAATGCCGGCGAGGCCGACTTTCGGTCCAGGCCAACTCCCAGTGCTCCACGTTCAGGTCGCAGTTGTGCCTCGTTTCCAGGGTCCCCCAGACGGAACGAGTGCATGACAATCCAACTCAAAGGTGACACAAAGGCGAGACAATCCTACTGATCCAACGGAGCTGGGAACTCGAATCCAGATCCACAGCCCAGTTGGGGGGAATCCCGACATTTGATGCGCCCTTTGGGGAGTAACGTCGCACCTCACCTTGCGTCACTTGTCTCAACCAAAATGGACCCCTTCTCGGTCCGCGGCACGAATTCGGGGCTCCGCGGAACTGAACAACTGGTCGTTTGGGATTCTGGTCCGACCAAGGATGTCCTGTTGGTCTGGTCCGCCTGAAAGCGCCTGAAATAGACCAAATCCGCACATCTATCGGGACCTGTTGCCATGTCTTTCTCGGACCTCTGTCGGGACCGACGCCGCGTCCGCGTCGATCACCTGCTTCGTCTTCGTCTGAACCTCCGTCTGGGGTCGTGGCAAGGCTGGGGTCGTGGTCTTCGGACAGCCCAGCTTCATGTGAGCGCAACACCAGGACTTCTTGTCGTCGGTCCAAGAGGTCCTTTGGGGACTGCGACGGCGACCGGACGAAGGATGGGCGGTGGGTGCCTTTCTCCCAAAAGGGATGACCCAAAGGGACGAGGTACTGGTCCGGGCAACAGAGACTTTCTCTGCCTTTATTTCATATGCTGCCCCCATGTCCATGTGCTGTAACTGTAGCCTTCATGAGACTGGCTCCACATTCTCGCAGCTTCAGTATAGTCACCATTTTGGGGTGCTTCGCCAGGGTGAATTGGACCTGTGGATGTGAATGATGAGTAGGTCAACTCAGTTCGCTCTTTCTTTGAGCCCAAGAAGTGGCACCTAAAGTCCTCAAGGTCAAACCCCGTCAACTGACCCGTCTACCATCAACTCGAGAGTGGAACCACTCCATGAATCCCATCCCTCATGAAGCAACATGCCGCTGACCTGGGCACTGCGGTGATCCTCACGCGATCGTGCACCACACCGGATTTGCCTACGGCGATTCCGGAGAGCCCGACGACGGCCGCTCGGCTCGGCCGCTCACGTCACTCCCTGCGAACCGGGAACTCAAAGGTGCCAAAGTCCATGCTGCAATCCTGCGGTCGGGGGGGGGGAGGAAGCTACTAGGAACAAGTGCATCGCTAGTAGTAACAAGTGCCTTACTACTAGTAACATCGTCCAATCCTTGTGTCCGTCAATGAAGCATTTCTGCACTCGACAGCATCCGCGCACTCTAGACAGCATTTCCTGACATATTAAAAAATACAGAAAGAACAGGAAGAAACGTCTGAAGAAGAGAGAAGAACACAGGAAGAAAGGTCCACGAAAGGTCCAAAACGAACACCTCAGATACATGTTCAACATGTAGAACAATCTCTGCACTCTGTCTCTCTCCAGGCCACTCATCCCATCATCCCACACCCTCATCCCGGTCATAACGATCGCACGCGACGTCGATGGTGCTGCAGCAAAACTTCTTCTTCTCCGGAGACCAGCCAGTCTCCCATTTGTCATAGCCTGGACGATAGGGTGAACGGATAGCAGTTCTAGCTGCTTCTAGGACAAATGGATTCTCAACCGGTTTGTAAATCTTGCAAAGAACAGGGGGCTCAGGGATCTATAACATCACGAAGTCGTTAACTACGAGCTTCGAACCAACCCAAAAGAGGATCCACACCTTCACCTCCTCTTCGCAGGACCCGCCAAAACGCTTTCAAACACACCCCGACCCCCAGGACCCACGACGTCGACCGAGTTCATCCTCTGGGCGCGTCGTGTCGTCGTCTCGGTCCGCCTGCGTAGCAGTCGAACATGGCTTCAGTGGTGGCGGCTTCACAGCCGCGCGTGGAATG